AGAAAAACCTACTACCCTCGCTTTCGAAATCAATGGCATTTTATGCAAAATCTGCATCAAACCAAACTTTGTTTTTGCCACATTACGCATGATTAGAACATATATTATGCATACCAGATTTGAAGTAGTGCTATGATAAAGAATTATATTCGTTCTCCCTGTGACTGATTAATTACTAAATTTACCATTATTTTAAGATTATCTAGAGATATCTATTTTCATGAAAGATATGTCTGAATCATCTTGGAATAATTAAAGCTAATTATAATCTGAGATTAATCATACCTTGCTTTGATGACTAGTACTTGAATAACACATAAGAATAATTACTATTTGTGAAGACGTAAATAAACATATAAACCGTAATAAGAATAAATATTATTATTGTAGTAATTTTGTGACATATCTTTACAGAGAGAAGATTTTTTAAAAATCTAAAACGATAAGAATTGTTCAGTTTTCAGAAACTCCCATTTATTTGCAATAGGGAAAATAAATTTATCTTAATTAAATAACACTAAATCCTCTTGATAAAAGTAGTCTTAATATCCCGTAAGAACGAATTGATTAGGTTGGTATCTTAAATTTGACTGAAACTCGGATTGTAAATTCATTAATTTTCATTTCTTCTCCTAATAAAAGTAACTCTTTTGCAGCTTAGATTATTAATCCTCGTAAATATTTCAATTACTCAAGCTCTTAAACATTTATTTATTCTGAATGCCTGTCTGAAATATGATCAAACAGTCTTCTGAGCTCCATCAGATTTGTTCAATGAATATCCACTATGTATAAGAATAACGGATATCATAGCATCTTCCATCTCCCTTTCCTTGTCATTTCTGCAAAAAGAAACATTAAATAAAAATTAAAAATTGTTAAATATGCTTTACTGCTTTTTTATAAATGGTGAGTTTATCTCATTCCGATTTATATTTCAACTTCTTTTTTTAATCACATAATACTCGAATTTTCTGTGACATCTAAATATCAGGCTTCACCTATCAGAAGTTTTAAGCAGGCTTATTTATGGAATACAGAGTAATGGAATTAGAGAGTCACTCAGTGCTAGACTTGAAAGATTAAGCGAAGAAGACAGAGTGATGTGAAGAGAAAAGACTTAGAACATCAAAGAGATTTTGATTTACTAGTCATGCAAAATTTTTAGCAAATAAGTCATTTTAGCATTATTTTTAATATGTCATCATTATGTCAAACATATTTACAAATAACGGTATGCAGATGTAAGAGATTTCTTTTATATACTAAAACTTCACTCAAAATATATTTTTCACAAGCATACTTTCAAAATACCCCAGACTTTAGAATTAATAAGCAGCTGAGAATTAAATCACTTACATAAACTGATGACAGGTTTGTATAAACAAATGTTAAGATTATTATTTTTATAAATACCTAAAAAGAATTTATTGGTAACGGTCGAACGCATCGGTCATTTTGCTATCTCATCATAGTAAAAGTTGGCCAAGGAACAGCACGTAGGATAAACCGATATTAGCCTACGAGGACAAAGGGGAAAGATGCACAAATACATTTAAGTTTACTTTTGGAATCGAGCTTATATGCTGTGTTTCGCTGTAGATGCCAACCTCCGTTAATCATCGCATCGACCAAGGTGGCAGTTTGGATTCAATACCTGGGTAGCAACGTATTCGCGGATAACATTTATGTAACTAATACATATGATGCTTAGCAAAATAAATACTTAGGACTTTTAGATATACTTTGATAATAAATAAATATAAAATTCAAATCCTTCAGATTTCTTAACACAAAATATTATCAAATAGTTAGGGTAAATAGCTGTCTGTGAGAATTTAAAAAAGGAGATATTAATTAAGGTACTCTACGCTTAGAAAAAATTGTTAAAAACAATGAAGACACTTTTTGTTTCTTTGAATGCGCATGGAATAGACTGCCAGGTTCCATAAGCATGGTAGACTAATTTATTCACCGTGGAAAGGAGAATCAATAAATGCTATTCCGCATATATTGCGGAAGTTCTAATGTATTGAAATTAGAAAGGCGATAAAAGAACAGGCCTCTTATACTGTCTGAGCAACATAGTGAAAGTCGAAATTTGTAAAAATACTGCTTATTTCACTGGTTACAGTCGAAAACATCGCCGGACGTAAACGTCGCGAAGAAAACAGCGCAAAGCGAAAATGTCGTGGTACAAAACATCGTGAGAGAAACGAGAGCAAAGAGAAAACGTCGCTGTTCTAAAACATCGTGATACAAAATATCGTCGTCGAAAATAAAGCCATTCAATAACTTCGCAGTTTAAAAACATTGTCATAGAAAATATCGTGGTAAAATATATAGATTCTACAAATAATCGCATGACGTGTTTTTCAGACTTTAAAAGTTGTAAATGCATATTCGCATAATAGTTTGTAAAAGAAGGAAAGAGAAATATATTTATATTTGTAAGTCATAATTTTGAATTAACTAATACATTTTTGATGAAAAACTGAGAAGGAAACCTAAGCATTTAAAAACCGAAAATGAGTGGAAAATTAATACAACTTTATAGCACTTAAATTTTAAACTTACATAGTTAACTAATAAAGATCTATAATTTGTATTAATTTTCTATAAGTAGCATACATTTTCTACTCATTTCTATAAGTTCAAAATGCGATGCAAGTTGCTGCGATATTTTCGGCGGACACCGATTTCACCAGGTTTTCACATGTACAATTTCATCAAATGCTACATGAATTGCGTAGTTATTGAAAATAAAGGCACTGACAGGTATGAAAATGAAAGTAAATGTTGTGAGTTCACGGTTTTAGATCCCAATTTATAATAAAGTTTTAAGTAAGTTTTTTTAATATAATATTACGTCTTATGTTAAACATGTAAGAAAACTAATGCTGAATAGTTCATTTAAGATTAATTTGAAAAATAAAAAATAAAACACATTGATAAGATTATTGCCATTTTACACTCATCTGCGCTTTTTCCTTCCATCTTTATATGAATTCAGCCAGGTTATGTACTCCTTCTAGTTTCCACACTATTTTGTTCCATTAATGTCTTAATTTCTCTCAGATAATTTTGTTCCGATATCAACAACTAAAGCTACTATTAGCAGTTAAATTATAAATGTGGATTCACGTCTTAAGAATCATCCAAATTTTCTTAGGAAAAGGTAATATTAATTTAATTAAACAGTTAAGATGGTTTCCTTGTTTCATTCAAATACCAAATAAAAAATTACACTTCCTAATGCATATAAACAGCTGTCACAATGTCATGCTATGGTTCCGCATATGGGATAGCATAGTGCAGTAGCATGGCACTTGCAACCTATCCAAACATCTAAAATTCATTATTCAGTTGGGATATGAGCTCAACCTGGAGCTCTCCAAATTTCCAATAAGAGAGTATTGCAGTATCTCGCGGAAGCGGAGCTAGCCTGTACACGATACTGAACACATAGCTCCATTCTTTCCTGCGGTCTTGGAATTCTGAGGTTTCACCTTTCGGACGTGCTTAACCCACAGCAAGGTAGATGGCGGGGGCGGAACTGAGTTAAATTCGGGCTGTCAAAAGTATGGTGCTCAAGGCTCTTGCCATCAACAGGCACAATTGACTCTTTAACACGATGGATGTCGTGGGCTTGTGCTGACCTTTCTCAAACAAGTGAGATTGGTAACAACAACAACTCAGTTTAACTTGTAAAACTGATGCATTTCAGTATTATTACGAATAATCTACAGTGTTTTAATATATAACAAAAAAGAGAAAAATTATTTATCCATTTTCACTGCCAGAAGCTTGTAAAATTATATCATATGAATTATATATCTCTGCATATTTGATTTCTTCTTACAACAAGCATATACGTTCTTGCCTTACCTTCACATGTTTAATTTGGGTATTTCCATCGACGTTATTGAAAATCTCGACAAAAACAAATTTACGTCCGAAATGTTGTATTAGATAAAACTCAGGCTCCGTTATATCATTTATCTCAGAACAAAAAGTCATATTTTCCACTTTGAAATGCATTGTACTTTTCCTATATTCCTGTTCAATAGTATAAAAATGCTTTAAATATGTTGATGAAATACTGGATTAACAATATAAATTTAAAATGGATTATAAAATCCGCGAACTCCAACAGTTTTTCATTGTACGAATAATGAACCTTTCTAAATATTATTTATTGTTATTCTCTTTATTTTATAAGCATTTTGTTTGGGTTCATGTACTTAATAGCCCCTAGAAGAAGGATTCGAAAACGAAACGTAAGCCTTAAATTTATGTTCCAAAAATTCTCTTTAGCTGAAAAGAAACAATATTTAATAAATGAATGGCAGCATTTGCTCTTGCTGGGAATAATCGGTAAATTAGCTTTTGAACTGATACAACATTGCATCCTAAATGCGGTGTAATGTTATTTTTTTATTAGATTACTTTTTAGTATATTCAACTATCCTGCCACAGTGATTATGCTTAATGATAAAATCATTTGTTATAATGCTAGAGATTAAGAGTACTGTACTTATAATCGTTAAATTTGATCTGAACCAAGTTACTTTGCTGGTATCGTGTCCAGTGTCATTGTTTGTCAAGCCACGAAAATGAAGACTCAAGTTTGTTGAATTAGTTTTTAATGAGTCAGTCAGTAACTTTCGCAAAGTACGTATCTTCTGAGGACGGAAATCGTGACGTCATACCTTAGCTGTCATATGTTTGTACTTCGCGAAGGTTACGATCCGCCTCTGTAAAAGTTGCGTCCAATGGTTGGACTTGCGTGTGCTGGCAAGGCGAGGGACAGAGGTCTAAGTGAATGGGGGTTCTTCCTGAAGTGTCCATAGATGGATCGACTGCTGGAAGCGCGATCGATAGGGACTTGCGCAAAGGAGCGCGATTGTTTGCCTCGCACACAGCACGCTCCTATAAAAACCCCATTCGCTAAGTGAGATAGCCGAGTAGCCGAGCAGTGCATAGTCTCTCAGCTAACGTAGTGTATCAGTGAGACATTGAAACTTGACATTGATGTTCCTGCGTTATTTCTATAGCTTAACGCTCGCTGTGGTTAAAGTGGTCGTAATCGCTCAGCTTTTGTGCGCGTGTATGTGTGTGTGTCACTTTTAAATGCTCCTCTTGTGATCGTACTTGGAAATGATCATCGAATACTCTTTCGTTCTGCCCCGGGAAAAAGTTTATAAACTTTTCTAACGGACTGCGAGGCGGCAACGTGAAAATGTTGGAATGGGAAGTTCAAATTTAATAGATGGGAAATGACTGCTCTCTTCGCATAGATTTTTTATTTCTTCGCTAAGAATATTCGGGGAATTTTTACGACTGTGTTTTATTATACTTATCGCAATTAGCGATTTTTCGCTTAATATACTTGATAGATGCGAAGAAAAGAATTACTATTTTTAAATCCGGCTCAGGCTGTTTCACGGTATGAAGAAGTATAAATATTTCAAATATATATTTTAAAGCAGGCGAGTAAATAATAAAATCTTTTAATCTATATGTAATACTGGATGGTATATAGTTATTTATGTATATATGTATATATTAAGATATATATATGCATGTATATGTACACGTTTTCAAACTTGTATGTACGTTGTTGTACACAGATAAAGAGATGAACATCACTTTTTCTATGTTTTACAGAAAGTACGGAGTCCACCTTGCTCTCAAGTTTGTTGCTCGTTTCCTTTTAACTGTCTGAGTTGCAAAATTATGTGAAAAACCTGATATAATGTGCTATTATTAAGAAGATTCTTAAATATTCGGACACAGTGAAAAATAGAGATAATGTGCTATTTTCGTAAATTCTTAGTGGAAGAGTCATAAAAATTCTGTTACGCTGAATGAACATCAGTTATATTTCTGTAGAAAAGTGCCAAATGTTGAAGAAATTCTGTTTATTGTGCTGTATTGGCCGAGCGTTGAATTAACTGAAGGCATTTGCATCAAATGCTATTATTAAGTATATATAATAGCTGCTCTGAAAAGTAGAGATTATATTCTGAGTTCAGACTTATAAGCCCTGATAATCCGCGAACTCAATAAATTTAATTGTCAGAGAAATGAATTTTGAGAAAACCTTTGGCTAAAGAAAATTCTGTAATCTCTATATCAAATAGTAAAAACTAAACCGGAACAATGATACCTACCGGCGAGACAAACTGCCGCACCCAGAGGAAAGTTTGGTGGTCCCATGGATTTTGTAGAAAGTACTTTCTGTATGTCATGCTGCTTTGGACGTTTCCCTTGAGTGGTAAGTTTCTGATGCATGTTTCTAATATATATTTAATCACTGTACATTTTATGCATGTGACAGATACATGCTGGCTGTCTACCGAAATAGATTAATAAGCTATCTAACCATGTTCCACCACGTGGGCAGTTACTTTGCAGTTTGATATATAAATTAAGTTCTCCTTGTTTTCATACTTAGAAACTGAGTTTGAGCAAATATTTTGTAGTGCAAAGCATAACTTTGATACTCATTTGAATTATCCTCACAAGATTCTCGAATTTCATGCGATTTATGCCCTTTCTTTGTAATTACAAAAAATTAACATTTATTGAAAGAATGCCAGAATGAATGAGAAATGTTGAAAGCATAATTTTGAACTTTTCAGATGTTTATTAAAATATTAGTTCAAATGAAACTTTCCAATAAATTTTTAATACTCTATTTTAATTAAGAAAATAATGATATATTTTGGTATAATAGATGCAAATTTCATTCATTACAATTTCCGTTTTTATTTAGATAGTGTTATTCAAAATAGCAGGTAATAAGGTTATTTTATGCTATGAATATTAATTCTAAACAAATAATATTTTTTAAACTGTTTTTGCTCTAAAATACAGTTTTACAACAAAAGACGGCAATTTATTGTTAAATGTTTTAATCTAATATCCGAGAAAGTGCATATGAGCGTCTTCTGCTGTTATAATCCTCTATATAGTTTAAGACACAACTTTAATTTCTTTGATTCATTAGTTAGTTTCTTTAACACGTAATTAACTCAATTTATTTCCACTACCAGAATATCCATTTAATTCCTTTTAAACTTATATGGTAGTAAAATTGGAAATTTAATTATTAGAATGTGCAAAACATCCGAATGAAAACAGTTGCGAATGAATTATCTTAAAACTATAAAATTTACTCTAAACATTATATATAGAGATATATGTGTGTGTGTATATACGTATATGTATATATCCTAAACAGCACTTTTTTAAAATATCAGATTTACCTTAATACAACGTAGAGTACACCGAATTCCATTAACTTTAAATTTAAATCGCGAACTCAATTTTAGTATAAACGTACAGCAGAATGTTAAGTAGAGTTTACAACTTTAAAATACAAAAGTTCATAATAATTTGAATTTCAGATTGAGGGTGAGCGTTTTAATAGAAGACTACATATAAAATTATTTACTGCGCTTTTGTGAAGTCTTTACTGCTATTTGCTTTTCTGCTTGTCAATTTTGGTTTTCATTGAAATAGAGCACTCAAGTTACATAAACGTTAACATAATTCTACATTTTTATCAAATTTTTCGAGTTGATCATGTAATTCCAACCCTTAGTTTTTATTCACAGAACGTAAATACTCTTAATTAAAAGGGAATGAACGTTATCCTAGAAATAATGTTCATTAAAGTAAATAATTCTTCTCCAAATACTTTTTCAATTATAATACTTTAGGTTTCATGCAAGACATTGTGTTAATTTGAAGTTATATTACTTGCTGTTGTAACCTGTACTCTTATTCTATAGTAACACTATGCTTTCACTATATTTTTAAAATAATTTTTTTAATTTTTTAAAAACTTTTTTTTACTTATAGTAACACTATGCTTTCACTATGCATTTGTGTCCAGCAGGACCTGCTTTTAAAGGTATATTGAAAAAGGCTTACATTTATTCAGTACACTTATCGCGCTATGCTAGATACATTTCCCTGTGCTAATATTTGAAATGCTTCAACGAATATCTGAAATTCTTCGGATAGCCTGACGAAAGAAAGCATTAAGACTAACTTTCATTAATTTTAAAACTTTTGAAATATCTTGATTTAAATAACATGTGAAAACACCGCAGCGCGTTTAAACCCATGATTTTTGTTTCCCACTAACTTTACTTCTCTTGTCTTTATTCAGTATTAATTATCAGGCTCAAAACAGAAGGAAAACATTTCTGCAGGTAAATGACAAAATTGAAAAATATATGAAATAAATTAAAATAAATTAAATGAAAGGAATCAAATATAGTTACGCATCTTAAGCTCATAAAGATATGTATCTTTAGACACTTTAAATAATGTTTTTTGCTTTAAACGATGTCTTCGATATATAGTTATTACATAATCCAATAAAATGCAATGCATAGAATCTAAACAATTTCACGTTTTATAATATAATACGCTGAGATGTGATTAATAACTTCTTACTCGGGTTTTCTAGTGTTTCCAAATAAAAGAAGTGGCATCTGGTATTTTCAACGGTCTTTATTGATGCTGCTGCTTATACTGCTGAATTTACCTTACTTTGTCTCCACAAAATTCCGAAAGCATTAATTAGTTCATATTCCAAATTTATTTAGTTAGTTTGTAAAATACAATGTTTTTATAAAATATTCTACTTCATATCTAATCACTTTCTATCATCGAATAGTCTTGGTAGATCAATAACAACTGAAAAACGTAGTGAATCATACTGCAAACAGAACCTTTAGAAAACTGCAACACCTGACGATGCCCATTTTCTCCCCCTGTTCCCGACATAATTTTCTGAAAGGTACCAGGAAATGGCTCTGATGAGTCAGCTTGAGACTGATCCGATTAATAGCCGCACTGAGCTAACCTAAAGAACGCTGAGCTACAATATTTCGGTATCTAAGAGCCGATTTAGTGGGTACCAATCCCTTCGCTTCTGCCAAATCCCGCGCTATATAGTTCCGTCGCTACTTCAACTTACGTATTGACAATAGCTTTGCTGCATTTTGAGGTTTCAATGTCAGGAATGTGCCAGCTATTAACTGTTTTGAAAGCAGCTTAAGTGAGCTCGTAAAAGTGTCCACTGACAATAAAAAAAGGAGGGGATCTATTCAAATCGTGTTAAATACTTCAACAAGAAGCCAGCGTTTGCATTTTAATATGTAGACATATTTAGGGTACTATTTTTAATTAAGTACTGACGTAATATTTTAAGATTATCAGCGATTTATTTTAGCATTTATCAGTGCCGGGATAATGTGAGTCACTTGCTTTAGGTCAGTTACTAGAAGGGGCTCCAAATTAGCTATGAAAATTCAAAAATTTCTCTTAGAGAAAATACTGATTTTTAACTTACTTTCAACTTTGAAGCACATTAAAATATATTAAAAATATATTTAAAATAATATAATTTTATTAAAACTATTCATAATAATTATAAAACACAATATTCATAGTGCTGTTTTTATTTTAACAAGCTTTCCAAAGTTTATGAACTAAGCATGAACTGCAGCGCAATTACCTGTAGTTTGTTAAAGCAGATTTAATGCGTAAAAGCTTTTTAGAATTGTATCAGAAATTTTTAACAAGGTGGGGGCGCTTTATCTTATAAAAGAAGAATAATTTCTAATTAAATATCTCACAATTTACAACAGTGGAAAATACAAATAATTGTGCGTGAACAAGAAATCATTAAAAAAATCTATCATTACTTTGTTAAAAAAAATTAAAATCACTAAATATCATAAAACTCCTATAAAATGACTAGTAAATTTATTTTAGAATTTTCGAAATATTATGTTCGTTTATGTCAGTTCATCTTCTAGAAGGTTCTGAGACCGAACGATGAGTTTTCTAAACGAATTGTGGAAGATTCAAGCCAAACTAGTCTAACTTATTCTAATATACCTGATATACATATAAAAATAGGTTTCAAAGGGTTTGATATCGTTTCGTTCATTTTAAGGTAACCGCAATAAAAAGCATAATTAAGAAAAATACTTTTTTTTGCTAAAAATGTTTTTAAATTACAGTTTGGAAAAGCGTAAAACGTGAAAAAGATAAAGGAGTCATTGAGAGAAAATTGTTGATTTAAAGATTTAAAAGTCTGAAATTAAAATCTATTAGTTTAGAAAGAGAAAACGTATTCACCGGTGCGAAGAAAAGTTCATAGCGAACACTTGTCATATTCACGAAATTTAACACATTGAATTCCCTGAGGTGATGAGATAGGGTAAAGGTAAATATAAAACGCAAAGCATCATTAATTATTATTAATTCTAAAATTGTAATTATGTCGTAGGAATATAATAAGAACGATAGAACGATAACCTATAAAAATTTATCTAATAATAAGCCATAGCTAAATCAGAGTTAGCTGTCATATAAAGTTCTGCTCAAGATTAAGTAAACCTTTCTTACAACAATTCATTTCATTAATAAAAGATGAATAGTTAAAGACTAATTCATCGATTAATCGATTACGCTAAAGCATATAAGGGTTTCTGCTTTAGGAAGGATTATTTCACGGACGATGTTTTGTAGAAAAGTCTGGTATTCAAATTATAGAGGAGCCAATACATTGGCTATACGCAGACAACCTTTTCACCATAAACCAGACCAAGACAGGCTTTCATTGCTTCCTGCTTAGCTACTTGTGAACGCAGATATTAAGAGAAAAGCTAGGAGCACAGAACTTATTATTTAAAAGTTTCTAACAAGAATTTCACAATGAGGAAGATCTTTTAAAATGAAAGTTGTAAATCTTTCTTAACATATTGAAAAGGATTATTTATTGATTTATGTTAAAGAGGAAAAAAAAGGAAAACTAAGAAGCTCTAAAATTTATTATACGTAGAAAAATTTAAATTAGAGATGAAAATATGTTAAGATATTTAAGGAAAGCCAATCATTTCAACATGAAAATCATGATCCGTTTACGTCAGTTTCATGTTCTGTATAGGAATATTGACGTAATTTGAAAGCTGTTATGGATTCAGAAGCATTAATATAATAACTGTAGTAGTAAATTTCTGAAAAGTTTACATAATGAAATTCAAGCTCGTATTAAAGTAAAAAACATTTTTCATTAATGGGAATCAAATGGCGAAAAATTTTCTACAGTGTTCTACATGTGTAAGCGTTTCATATTGGCCGCCGTTAAATTTTATGACTTAGTTTTATCTCTAATAATAGGGTTCTTGTTGATAAGAAAGATAAGTAACACAAATATGGTATGGGCATCAAGATCAGAGGTTATTA